GGTCCCCTCCAACCCAAACCATTCTGGGATTTTATGCAGCCTAAGGCATAAAGCCACCTTACCCTGCTGTCCTGGACAGTCTCCTCAGAGCCAGGATGCTGACACAGCATTCCTGCACTGGGGACAGGGCCAAACCAGGTCCTAAAACCCCTGTCCCACAGCCTCAGTGGAACAGAAGGCAGGGAACCCACCTATGCAGTAGTAGAGCAGCCTGCCCAGCATGTCCTGACACTCGGCGGGACGGGACAGGAACAGTCGCACCAGGGCTGTCAGGAGCTCCATCTTCACTGCTGGGAACATCTCCGACTTCACATTCTCCACAAAGTCCTCCAAAACATAGGGAGCATTCGGGACCTTCTCCCCGTGCGTGCCCAGGAGCCAGATCAGTGCTTGTTTGCCCTGGAGGAACCACAGAAAACAACAGCAAAGGGGTGCTGTGTGCCAGAAAGACGGTGTTGGTGTGAAATAAAGAGATTGAGAGAACATGGCTGAAGATTTCTGATTTTTACCAAACAGCTACTGTTCACTCATCCTCAAGCACTGGCACCTCACCTCGCTGTCCTGGATGGTGTCCTCACAGCCAGGCAGTGCCTGGCACACGGCATCTGTGCACTGGGGACACAGCCAAGCCAGGTCCCGGAAAGCCCGGACCACCGCTGCAAGGAAAGCAAGTTATCAGCATCCCCAAGAGTCACAAAAACCACCAGAGGGAAAAAAAAAAATCAATCCAACCCCCCCCATTCAAGAGATTCTGCAAATCTTAGCCAGGAAGGTCAGTGCCCTGCTTGTGACTATGATTTGAGACACCCTCCTTCCAAGTCCCATGACGCTGCGTTTGTCAGAGCAAAGCTGCATCGAGTCTAAAATAAAGCACTGAGGCTTCAGATTGTTCCTCTGGCTGCTGGAAAGCAATCTCTCTTCTGGACATTGCCAGCCTTTAAAAGGGCACTGACTCATGATGCTTCAGACACATGAGGTTGGAATGACAAATTAAAACTAACCCCAACTCAAAACGAGTCTCGTGAACTTTAGGTCATAAATTTTAAAGGTTCTGCTGCCCACTCAGAAACACCAGCAGCTCCTGAGATCAAATTCAACAGCTGAGGGCAAGTGCGTGGTTTTTAAACTGAGAGCAGAGCAGTTAAAAGAGAACAGCAGGAGCAGCAGTGATGTGAAGGTAGATCTGAGGGCAGCAGGAGAAAAAAAGAAGCCTGGGTACAATTGAATCAGACTATTATATGAGGAACAGAAATCACAGAGATTTAAAAGATCTATTAATCATCTTGGCCCTCAAATAGACACTAAAATGTCTCTGCTGAGTCACTCACTCCCTAATTCAGCAGGTGGCAGGCAGAAAGGACTGAGAACACAGATACAACCATCTCCAACCATCTCCTCCTTCCCCACAAAGAGCAGTTCCTATGGAAGGAACACACTTAGTACCCCTAAACCCACCAGGAAAACTTCCACATGAAGGTGCCAAAAAATGAAAAGCCAAATGCCTTCAAAAGCCTTGATCTGGGGATCAGAAGCCCTAGCAAGGCCACTTCCTGAAGGCACAAGCCAGGTAAGCAGCCTGCAGATGGTTACCTGAAGTGATGTGCTCCTGCTGAAGGCCCAGGAGCTCTGTCAGAATCCCCACACACTGCTCTGTGTAAGTCCTGGCAATATTGCCTGCAAGGATGCCAAAAAGACATAAAAGTCAACCTTTTATCAGAGTGAAATAGGAACCATGAGCCCAACTACTCATCACAAACCCATCTTAAAGAAACAGTCTCTCTCTTTTCCTTTCTGACTACCACTTATGAAAGTGCGGTCGAATGAGCTTGTTCTCCACACAAGGGACATGTTCCTTTTTTTGAGGCCATGCCTCAGAAGATTTCTGAACTTTCCTTAAATGTAATACACTAAGAAAAGCACTTTAGCATCCCCAGCTTCACCCTTATGGATACTGTAAAAACTCACCTATTTTAAAGCTTACAAAAATAAAACCAAAGCACCCCAAATCCCCTTAACTCTGCCCCATCACAACTCACAGAATAAGCAGGTATTGGAGCTCCTCCACCCACTACAAAGCTTCACTGAATGCTATAAGGCTGATTAACAAGATGAAATGATGCAATTTCTTTAAAGCATCTCATCAGAGGACAGGATTCAAGGATTTTCTGAATGCCAAGGCTTCCAAAAGAACCAGCCCAGTCATGGTTTAGAAACACAGTGACACAAAACACTGCTGGGGAGGTTGGTCTCTGTACTGCTGCAGCACAGATCAGTGATCTGCTGTTTGCCCAGACACAGTTCAGCAGAGAACAGCCCACCTGGAAGGTCCAGGCAAGGCACAGCTCTCACCTATGGCGAAGATCGCCCCTTGGGCGAGCTCCACCGACACGTCAGTGCAGTAACCCTTCAGCTCCTCCAGCACCTGCTGCACGTTCTCATCGTTCACCAGCTCACACAACACCTCCATCTTCTGGCATTTGATGTAGTGGGGCTCTGAGTACGAACAGAAGAACTTTTTGTAGTGGCTGCTGAAGTGGCCGGGCAGGCTCCCCAGGATCTGGCGCACGTGGCACAGCGCGGTGAAGCAGAGCTCCCTGCTCTCCGAGGTGCAGGCAGACAGCAGAGGGCCCTTCACCCGCACCAGAACATCTGCCTGCACATCTGGGTACTCCCTGGCCAGCACCAGGAAGAGCTTGGTGGCTGCCATCACCACGCTGGGGCTGCTGTTTTTGAGGTAACCATCCAGCAGGTTGAGGATGTCGAAGAGTTCCTCCTCGCTGCGGGGTTTGTAGCGCAGCAGGAAGGTGAGCACCTCGCTCTGCCCCCACTGATCCAGGTCAGGCATCCTGCCAGGACAACAAACACAGTGTGCAGGAGTCAGGGAGTGCACGAGGATCTGGGCTGTGCAGAGCAGAGGCCTCAGTCTCTGAGTTTCTTATGGTCTCTGTTCCAAACCAAGGGGGTAGCACACTTTTATCTCAAGAGAATTGCCCAGTTATTAACTCAGGATCAATCATGTGCACTCTTACTGGTGTTTAGGCCAGAGAGCAACACTGACAAGAACCCTGGGCAGAGCAACACCCCTCTTTTCCCAGCTCATGCAGAATTATCTGCAGATAAGTTCATTTCTTCAAGCAAAGGATAAGTTATATATTTTTCAATGCATCTGGAGAGACATACTAAAAACATACCTGTTTATGAATATATCGTGTGTACTATCACTGAAAAATTAATCACATTAACCTATAATTCCAAAATAAACCAGCAGCTGAAGCAAAGACTCCCTGGAAAAGCAGGGCATTCCAGATTACTCTTAAGACTTTAGCCTAAAAGTCATTTAGTTTATCTTAGGATGGGCACCTCCATCTTTGGGTGCCTGACTAGAGTCCCTTCAAGTCCTCTCCAGAAATGCCCTCTCTGCATAGAAAACACAAGAACAAGAATGAAGGTTCCAGCACCTCCTTAGTATCAAAGACAACAAACCTGTTGAGGAGATGATGGGCAATTGGTTTGTTGATGACAACTCCTCCCTCCTTCTTCAAGATCTCTTCCAAGGCCCTCAGACAGTTCACGACCACAATGGGATCCTGGTCACGAAGCAAACTGTAGAGCTCGTTCACCAGTGCACCATCTGCAAAGGAGCAGAGGTGCTGCTATCAAATTCTGCTGGCACACTGCACTTTAATCACTGTCTGTGAGTATTTGTCACAAAAATAAGATATGGCTTGAACTGAGAGAAGGAGCCACCAAAACTTCCAGCTCTACAGTAACAACTGCCCTTGGCACAGCTTTTCCCTGAATATTGGTGGGGGTGAGAATGGCCCCTGGCTGATCAGAGATTTCAGGGATGGCTGTGTGCTGTGGGAGGCCCTGGAAGAGCAGGGAGGGAAGGGGCACTGCATCGTTAACAGTCTGATACACATGGACCCCAGAATCATGGAATGGTTTGGGTTGGGAGGGAACTTTAAGCTCATCTCATTCCACCCCCTGCCGTGGGCAGGGACACCTTACACTAGCCCAGGTTGCTCCAAGCCCCATCCAACCTGGCCTTGGACACTTCCAGGGATGGGGCAGCCACAGCTGCTCTGGGCAACCTGTGCCACCCTCACAGGGAGGAATTCCTTTCCAATATCCCATCTAACCCTGCCCTTGTCAATGGGAAGACATTCCTTCTTGTCCTGTGTCTCCATCCCTTGTTCAAAGTCCATCTCCAGCTCTCTTGAAGCCCCTTTAGGCACTGGAAGGGGCTCTAAGGTCTTCCTGGAGCCTTCTCTTCTCCAGGTGAGCACCCCCAGCTCTCCCAGCCTTTAATTCTCCTCCACTTCCCCCTCTCTCTGCCCTGCAGCCACGACAACCCAGAGGCAGCACAGCGAGTCCAGCACAGCCATGAAGAGCGTTGAACACGCTCTCAGTGTGTCCCCAGCCCCAGGACCACCACCCTGAGCAACCACCCCCCTCAGCCCAGGAGCACAGCCCCTCAGAGCCCCTCACCCACTTCGCAGTCCCCCTGCAGCTTCACCATCTTGGCACAGCCCAGCACGGCCGCTCTGCGCACGTAGGACGCCTTGTCCCGCAGCCCGTTCACGAGGGGCTGCTGCAGGTACTCCTGGATCCCAGGCATCCTGAGGGAGGGCAGGTCAGGGGGTACCAGAGCCTGAACAACCCCAACCCTCCCAGCCTTTAATTCCCCTCCACTTCCCCCTCTCTCTGCCCTGCAGCCATGACAAACCAGAGGCAGCACAGCGAGCCCAGCACAGCCCTAAGGCCTGAACGTGCTCTCAGCACCTGCGTATCCCCAGCCCCAGGACCACCACCTCGAGCCCAAGACCACCACCCCAGCCCCAGGACTACCCCCAGCCCCTGGACCACCACCTTGAGCCCATGACCACCACCTCGAGCCCAAGAGCACCACCCCAGCCCATGACCATCACTCACAGTCCCACAGCCACCACCCCAAGCTCCAGGACCACCATCCCCAGTCCCATGACCATCCCCAGACCATGACAACCACCCCAGACCATGACCACCACCCCCAGCCTCACAGCCACCACCTCCAGCCCAGGATCATCATCTCCAGCCCAGCACCACCACCCCAGTCCGGGACCAGCACCCCAGTCCGGAACCAGCACCCCAGTCCGGGACCAGCACCCCAGTCTGGGACTAGCACCCCAGCCCACAACCACCAGCCCCAGCCCCAGGACCACCATCTCCAGACCATGACCACCACCCTGAGCCCTAGAACCACCACTCCAGTCCAGAAACACCACCCTCAGTCCCATGACCACCCCAGCC